AGGAGTAGATGCAATAGGCAACAAAGTACAGAAGAACTTAAAATTGACCGTTGCATTTAAATATTGCACTAATATTTAAGCTTACCTTTTAAATGTCCAATGATAATTCTTCTGACACCAGTTAATTTAAAGATGATCTGATGGACCTAGATCCTTGCTTCCTGTAGAAACAATTATTTTTTATTTCGCAATTAATTTCGATTTTCACAAATTTATTTTCAAATTATAAAAAAATTGCTATCATACAAAAACGAAAAAAAAAAAAAGAGCACGTCGCAAAAAATGACGTAAAAATTGACGAAAACAATAGCAGTAATGAAAAATTGAGAAAGCAAAATTTCAGAATTGTGGGCCTGGATCTGGCCCCGGAATGTTTTTAATTTGTTCACGGAGTCGGCCTGATTTCAAAATGGTATGATATGTTGGGCTACGGCCTCTAGGAGTAAAGTTGAAAAAGTGTGACACACTGACATTCGCATTTATTGTATAGATTTATATTAGTAACGCAATATTTTTTTTTTTATAAATATTGCAAAATGCTAAAATTATACTATTACATATATGAAGTCTCAAATTCTTAAGCAAAGTTAAGTTAATGGCCTTTTCGGCTTCCTCTACGTGAGTAGGAGTTTACTTTTTGAATAACAAAAAGGAGTGGGGTGGCATCAGGATTTAGAGATGCTTAAGTAAGGCATGCCCAAAATGCTATTGGGAATCACTTTATATGCAGTTCATACGTTCGATATTTTAAAAAAGTGACGGGTTAAGGAAGGAAAGTAAGAGCAATTCAATAAACAAAATGTATAAACGATTTAAAAAATGATCATTTTTCTCCGTCAGTCTTGCGTAACGGGATAAACGATATAATTTAAACACAAGGCTTCCTACGTTCTAGTATCTAGTAAAATATCCTTGTAAAATTCATACAATCAAACATTCTCTGGAAATGCAGGCGTAAAAAAAAAATAAAATTAAAAAAATAATGACACTGGATATAATATAAACAGAGATAAGAGCTTCCATCGTTGTCTCAAAAGACAGTCTGTTTGTCATGGGAATGAAAACTTATTAACCAATGCAAATCCCTGACCACGATATTTTAGAAATCAACTCATAACCTTTTTTATTACTACCCTTTTTTCTTGTTTAGTTAAATCTCTCGAGTGAATAGCATATTCTCCGGCAAAAGACTTATCGCCGGCATCAAATAAGTATTTGCTTGTAAATGTCAAGTTACGACAGAAACAGCATTTGACCGAGCCTAATGAGTCCAAATTGTTGAATGATAACATAAACTTGGCAATAGAAAATGTATGCAACATTCTTCTTTTTCTAGTGGCGTTAACATTTGAGTTGAACAATCTGATTGTGAAAGAAAAAAAAAGCTCAGGTATATCGCGACGGTTCTCAAAATAGTAGCGCAGTTTTTGATTCGTGCTAAAGATTAACTCGTTAATTAGGAAATGAATTGAGATAGATTAAAGCAGTTCGACAAAAAAGGTTTGTCTGCATTCATCAAAATGTTTATTTTCATTAACCGTCATTTATATGTTTTTAATGTTCCAAGCGTGGGAAGTGGGTGATTTTTGTATTCTAGATGATGTATGGAGTCTATATGGAAATCTTTTAGTGAGATAATTTATGAATATTGTAAATGAAATAAAAACAATATGGGAATTGTGAATATTTTTGTTTTGTTTCGTAGGTTAGAAGAGTATTTTTAATGCATTGATAATATTAGATGCGTTTTTTTAGTCTTTTTTTTAAAATGCCAACAACAACGCCGAAAGTCAGAGTTAAAATATATTTTTAAAATAGATTTTCACTTTCTAGCATTAAACGAATTTTTTTTTAAGCTTTTCTCCCCAAGCAAGGCGGGAGTACCACTAGCACACAAGGGGTTACTGAGAGTGGGAGCAAGAGTAAAGAGGCGTGAAAGAGGAAAGGATAAAGAGAAGGACAGAGAATAGATCAAGGCATCTGGAGGTCGGTTGACATTGCATTTGAATAGTTGTAGATTATAGTTATCATGGAAGCAACTAAGAGGAAGGGAGTTCCACAGACGGGAAGTGCGAGACATGAAGCTATTCGAATAGAATAGACGGCTACATTTAACCGTTTCGACGGTGAAAGAGTGGGACTGAGATGCCAACCTAGTGGCACGGTTAAATTCATGCAAAAATAGCTCGTCAGAGCAGTTACCGTGAAAGTATTTTTTAGAAAAGACAGAGGGATGCGACGTCACGTCTGTGAGAGAGCGACTGTAAACGAGATGCCAGATCAGGGTCAACCACATTGCATATCCGTCTCTGGATTTTGTCGAGGACACTAGGACGAACATCGGGGGGCTCATATATGACAGCAATATTTCATGCAAGGAATATTGTTTCCACAGAAGCCGTCTACAAACCCTCTACAACACTAATCGTGCCAAACAACAAGCCCAAATCTATCAAATCTCTTCGGTAATATAACACATACAGAAAAAACAAGAACAACAAATTCCTTGGAAAAGAAAGTTCCCCTTCATTTTTAGTTTTTTATTTCTTGTTTCGTTGATAAAGGACACAGGAGTGTCCGAAAATTTTGATTTTTAAAATCTTTCTCAACATGCTTCCATTTGGTTGGTTGGTTGGGTTTTATGGCATATCAACCACTGTAGGTCATTTAATGCCAAATTTAGTTAGATATATATATATACACACAAATATATATATATATATATTAAATATATAGTACTAGTAAATGTATAGCTGGCAACATTGTTTTTTTTTTTTAAAAACGTATAGCTGGCAACATTATTTTTTCAAAAACGTATACCTGGTAACATTATTTTATTTCAAAAACGTATACCTGGTAACATTATTTTATTTCAAAAACGTATACCTGGTAACATTATTTTATTTCAAAAACGTATACCTGGTAACATTATTTTTTACCAAAAACGTATAGCTGGCAACATTATTTTTTTTTCAAAAACATATATCTGGCAACATTATTTTTTCAAAAACGTATAGCTGGCAACAATATTCTTTCCCCAAAACGTATAGCTGGCAACATTATTTTTTCAAAAACGTAAATCTGGCAACATTATTTTTGGACATAGTTTATCACCATACCCAGGACGCGGATGTAGTTTATTGCCATACCCAGGATGCGGATGTAGTTTATCACCATACCCAGGACGCGGATGTAGTTTATTGCCATACCCAGGACGCGGATGTAGTTTATCACCATACCCAGGACGCAGATGTAGTTTATCACCATACCCAGGACGCGGATGTAGTTTATCACCATACCGAAGACGCAGATGTAGTTTATCACCATACCCAGGACGCGGATGTAGTTTATCACCATACCCAGGACGCGGATGTAGTTTATTGCCATACCCAGGACGCGGATGTAGTTTATCACCATACCCAGGACGCGGATGTAGTTTATTGCCATGCCCAGGACGCGGATGTAGTTTATCGTCATACCGAGGGCGGGTTTTATTTGGTTAAAAAGTCGTACGAATATATAATAAATATTATTAGTCTTATTACCAATATTAGTTTTTTTTATTTCATCGTCTTATTATTGTTTTTTTTTAGAGGATTTAGTTGTGTGGTTGTAGGGTTATTAGAGACTATGAGGCCAATTGTTTAGAATTTTTTATAATATATGATGAGCTTAACTTGTGATTATTATTAATGGGTTTAACATTTCTACCTATTATGTTTTTGTAGCTTTTAATACACCATAAAATCCAAAATCACCTCATATGGGGAAAAAGCTTATTTCGACAGACGAAAATATAATTCCTCTGTCTTATCAAACACGGTATAGAATGAGTTCGTGTCGGAAATAGAATTTAACTGTGAAAGCTACAAAAAAAGTTGAAAGACTAATACAGAATTTATCCATTTCAATGTTTCAGTCAGACGAACGGCACGAGGCAGTGGGCAGGAGAAGGTGGAAGGTATTTGGGAAGAGGTTTTATAAAATTAAACCCGGATATTAATCATGACATTAAATTATATATATATATATATATATATATATATATATATATATATATATATATCAAAGATCCCTAACGCCTAGCAAAACATGTTACTACTGTTTAATGTGTTCAAAGGCGATTAAATTTTTCCAAATTCTTCAATATTATAAAATACAGCAATAATAGTTAATAGATAAATAAAAGACATACCTACCGATTTATCTTATCCTGACGAGCCGCATATTTACGTAACAGGTGCAACAAGTTAGATATATAGGAATAGTATTAGTAGAGGACAGAAGGTGTGATACTGAAATCCGAGGGTACATTGGGATGAAGAAAGATGCTTTCCAAAAGCTAAGAAATGTATTAAGAAACAGAAAAATATCGTTAGCAATAAAGAAAAGAGTACTGAACTGTTATGCAGTATTGGTCCTCCTATATGGCAATGGACGCTGGAGAATCTCCTCACAGATGAAGAAGAGACTTGAAGCAACAGAAACAAAGAAAAGAGTATTGAACTGTTATCAGTCCTCCTTATAAGTGAATGGACAGTCCTCCAGATATATGACAGTGAATGCTTGACAATCCTTATGACACAGATGAAGAAGATGAAGAAGAGCGCTGAAGCAACAGAAATGTGGTTCTACAGAAGGATGCTGAGAATACCATGGACCGAACATGTGAACAACGACGAAGTTCTTGAAACAATGGACACTTATACTTAGCATCAGGATGAGACGGTTGAAGTTTCTGGGACACATAATGAGGAAAGAAGCCTTTTAAATAAATAAAATATATATATATATATATATATATATATATATATATATATATATATATATATATATATTGTAGGTAAATCAGAGGAATGCAACGCACCTCCTGCTTGGCGAACTTGAGTGAATGGATGGTTGAGCAAGGTATGTGAGAGAGTAAAAAAGCAAAATTTCTTATGAGCTACATGTGGAGAGCCATGATCGCTATCATCCTGAAGCGACATGGTACAATGAAGATGAGGCCGGAAGATACGCCTTTTGAACTACTATCTATCTATCTATCTATCTATCTATCTATCTATCTATCTTTTTTAATCATTACACCCCAAGCAAAGAGTTACCGTTAATAAAAGAAAAATGAGAAAACATTGTTGAAGAGCCAAGGCAATAAAAGAACAGGTCTCTCGAATACTATATATATCTACCTTTTTCTCTTACGGGCATATTACGATCACCAAAGTTAAGCAACCTCCAGCCTGGTCAGTACCTAGATGGGTGACCGCATGGGAATACCAAGTGCGGTAGGTTTGGACGTGCGGGTTGTGTAATAGATAGTACCTCTGAATTAGAAATCGGAGAGTCAAGTTCCAATTCCAGTCGGGTTCATTATATTCACTTACGCGCAAATATGAAAGGCATGAACCCACCTTTTCTCCTCCCAGGTATAGGTTAATTAGTAAGACTTGTATCATTACATTCATTATTATGTCAAAAAAACAATCAAAAAATTTTTACAATCTAAAAATATTTTCTGGCTTTAAATAAACTGCAAAAGATTGATATGCTGTAAAAAGCAAATCAACCAGTATTTTGTCAGAAGTAGAAAATGTCAAATATTATGAAATAAGCAAAAAAAAAAAGAAATTTTTTATACAAGTGAATAATAATAATAGTAATGTAGTAATAATTGAAATCGAAACCTCAAAAATGTGGCACACGGGAACATCAACAATTTCTGTTGTTGTTGGAGCTCTCGGATTGGTTGGAAAAGATTCCATGCCTTAAAGAAATACAAAAAAAGGGCTTTATCTATGTAAAATATGTGTGTGTGCGTTTTTAGTTGGTCAGTAGAAAATGTCATGATGACATTTCTAACCTTAGGTCTCTGGGCGGGACCCGGAAAGAAATGAGTACACATCAGAAATCAAAGGAATAATAATAATAATAATAATAATAATAATAATAGCCTTTACGTTTGTACTTAATATACAGATGCCTTGGTATACAGTAGCGTCTTGAGTGGGAATTCAGAATTTGATGCCAGTATGAGATACAAAGTCAGGACGGCTACAAGTGAATTTGGCGCTCAGTGCAAGGATTTATGCATATTATTTACTATACAATTTGATTAGTTAATTTAGATAGATTGGTTTATGGCGATATTGTCGCCAGTTAATATAAAATAATGAAAGGGTTGTACAAAATTAATGAAATAAAATAAAAAACAAAAATAAATATAAACGTAATAAAACGAGAAAATAGAAATAAAAATATGTAAAATAATAAAATAGAATAAGATAAAATTAAAAAATGAATTACAGTTGAAAATAATAAAATAAGAATAGGAAAATAAAACATAAATAAATAACAATAATAAATTAGTATAAATAATAAAATAAAAATAATGTATCGATTAAAATAATTAACTAATATAATTAAATAATAAAATATAAATAAAAATAATAAAATAATATAAAACCATGAAACAGAAATAATAAAATAGTGTAATAAAAATAATAAGACAAAAATAAATAAAATAAAAAAATAATTGAAATAAATAAAGTAAATGCATAAAGTAATAAAATATAAAGCAAAATAAAATACAAATATTACATAAATAAAAATAATAAAAAGTAAGGTGTAAATATGAATAAAAATAAAATTATTTATTCTATTTACATTCGTACTATTGTCCACATCTCTGTTATTTCTATCATAATGTTTCGGCTGTTGTGCCCTCCGGCCTTCATCAGTTGTATATTGATCCTACAGGGAATTCTGAACTGAGGCCTTTTTTTAATCTACGTTGGTAGACCTTTCTCTTTCCACTACCCATGTCTACGGATATCTCGTCTAGTTCTTACTTTTAGTACTGCTCAGTTATTGCTTGGCCCAGGGATTGAACTCATAATCACTATATCACCAAATTTTCGAACCAACGCTTTAATTCACTAGATTATTGTCGTGTAGAGAACTTGAAGTCTTAAACCTAACCTGACTACCTGCTGATGTGTGCTGCTCCTGCTTGTCATGCCTGACAACATACATTGAAGTTTTCCTGTTTTTTTTTTACGGCTGTTAAAGACTTGCTATTATTTGTATTTATTTCTTTATTATCAGCTCCGAAATCGTATTTATTTTTATGCTTGGCTTATCAAGGAGATCCACATAACCCAGCATATGCGCCGTTTCTTTCAAAATAAATGAAACTAGAATAAAAATGAAACTGAAGACACTAAAATAAAAAGAATAACATAGAAAAAAATGAAAATGATACAATCTATATAAATAAAGCGCAGTGTACGTGTGTCCGTCCGTCCGTTTTTCGATTTTTGGCGAATCATAAACAACCTGAAGCAACAGGTAGTAACTGCTGTAGTAATACTCGATTAAAAATTTAAAAAAAAAAACTCATTTAAAGTTAAATTTAAATATCGAACAGAATGAAAGGTTTAAAAAACAATTCTTTATTAAAGCTTTAACTTTAATTTCGCTTTTCGTCGCAAATGCAATTGATATCATCTAACTAAACCGCAATTAAAAATAGAGTACCTTGCTCATATGTATTTTCTTTTTGTAGCACGTGTACTGTGATGTATTCGAAATATTACATAGTTCGAGTTACCTAATGTCTTTTAATAGTGACTTTATGTGACGGGATCATAAAGAATGGTGATTTTAAAAGAAAACAAAATTGCGTACAAAATAAATGTAAACAAACTACGGAAATTGGTTGCGGATACGAAGAAAGATTATGTCGAATTAAGGTGTCTAATAAAGATAAAATAATTTTATTATGTTTAAATTCTTACAACTTTTTCGTACATTGGGCGCTGAAAGTAATATTCCGAAGGGCCAAAAAACCTCCACAGGGACTAAACTTAAACAACGGCTTCTAGGCTAGTAATATAATGAAAATAGTAAAAAGAAAAATATGAATAAAATAAGAATAAAAATGATAAAATAATAAATTAGAAATAAATAAACCAATAAAATGAAAAATAAAGAATGTATTAGAAACAATAATTTTTTTTTCATTATTCTTTATTTAAATACTTTTGATATAGTCCATTTGATTTCACTTTGTTCTGAGTGTTTCTCTTGGAAAGGTTTCTTCAGTTGGGTGTTAGTGTGGTTTGCTGAGATTAACTTTTGTCCGTGCGTCATGCAGAAGCATTCATTACGAGTAAGAAAAAGAAAGCCATCATCTTTGTTGTTACTATCACAATATTTGACTGGTGTGCACTCCGACCTTCTTTGAGGTGTCTATCGATTCGAGCAACAATCAATTAGCTTCTGAATTTGGTGGTATACTTATTATGAATTCAATCCCTAGGCCTGGAAGCATAGACTCAGATTTTGGTAATAACTGAGCATTACTAGTAAGAGAACTGTAATAATAAAGAAGCAGTTCTAATAAAAAAAATACAGTACTAATAAGGGAAAATTACTAAGAGAAAAAATACTAATAAACGATCAGTACAAATAAGAGAACAGTATGGGTTGTGATGTAATGGATTGAGTGACTAGTTCGAATTCCAATCGAGTTCGTTAGATTTACCGACGCACAAATAGTCCTTTTCTTTATCATCTTTGATTTAATATGCCTTTTGGGGAAAAGATAGCGGAATGACTTTTAGTGGCCTCTCTACGATTTGGAGTTCATATGTTTTTCCTCCTCATACGCTGGGTGCCACCTAAGCGTCAGTCTACTAGGCTGGGAGAAGTGACGGGTTCATGCCTTTCCCAAGAGCATTTGCGCGAAAGTGAAAGTAACAGACGTTGGTTAGATCCAGTGACTAGACCCAAAGAGTTGTGAGTTCAATACCAGGCCACAGCAGTGGTGAAAGAAAACTGGGAGAGTTGAGTTAAAGAGAAATAACTGAGACATCTAGAAGAGACATGGCACGTGGAAATCGAACAATCTACTACGGTGGACGAAATAAGGGGTGCCGTTCGAAATTCCAGTCACCTGAAGAAGGCCGGAGAGTAGAAGGGCCGAAACGTTGTGAATATGGCAATGAAGATGAGGATTGTCCGAATAATGTAAATAATGCAAGTAACAACAGACAAGCCAGAAATTTGTAATCGAATTGCTGATTTCGCTTCCCTTGCCAATATCCGTTACACTATTCGCACATCGTTTCAACTTCAGATTCGATAATATATTTGGGCATTAGATTAAAACAGACATCATTTCCTCTCAAATTTTTTTTATGAATTTTCATATTTTTAAATCTTTTACAGAACTGAAAGATTTGACTTATACATAAGAAAATGCGTGACATATTATTGATATGAAAGACTCTTTTGGGGAGGTGATAGCTAAACTATTTCGCATGATTTAACCCTTTCTGTTTAATAAAGAGGAACATAAACGAAAAGGATGTACGCACTCACCGTTTGAAGAAAGACAGAAAAACAAGGAAGAAAGAAAGATGTGAATGAATATACAATGTTTGGGGTAATAGAAACAGTTGAAAAGAAATAAAAAGGAAAAAAAATGCCGAACAAAATATAGGAAAAAAAAAAAGTGTAACAAGAGGAGGGGAAGTGTCGCTGTGAAGTGTCGTGTTGATCAAGATTGAATCTGTTCACACAATATCATGATCAGTGGAAACGCGACTGAAAGTTTCAACGTAAATATCAATTTAAATTTAAGATTTTTGAGAAAAGTATTAAGAAATAGGAAAATTTCGTTAGAAACCAAAAAAGAGTATTGAACCGATACGTAATATCAGTCCTCCTATATAACAGTGAATGCTGGACAATCTCCTTAAAGATGAAGAAGTGACTTGAAGCAACAGAAACAATGAAAAGGGTAATGAAGTGAACACTCAGAAGTCTCATTACAGATGAAGACACTTGAAGCAACAGAAACAATGAAAGATTAATGAACTGTTATTTAATATCAGTTCTTTTATATAACAGTTAACTTTGGACAATCACCAGACAGATGAAGAAGAAACTAGAGCAACAGATATACGATTCTACCAAAGGATGCTGAGAATACCATAAACGGAACATGTGATCAATAAGGATGATTTAAAGAAAATGGAAACAAAATGAGCGCTTATAATTACAATCCAAATGAAACAGCTGAAATTCATTGGATGCATAAT